TGCTTGCCCTTCTGCTCTTCCCTTGTATTCCCAGTCATTTCCTCCACCCTCAGTGGTAGACCAGGGATGGCCTTTGTTGTGCAGAGGATAGCCTCTGGAAACAGAGCCTCCTTGTAATAGGGCATCTTAGCTGTCACACATCAAACCTGTTTCCTTGTATGAAAAGCTGGAATATCACAATCTTCTCATCTTTCAAGGACCTGGGTATTAAGTGCAGCACACGGTAAAAAATAAACACCCTCCCCTGCACCAAGAAAAATGACTGACATGCACTGGGAACTATCTGAACACTCTGGCCTAGGGCAGTAGTTAAGCCAGCAAGAGACTGACAATCCGGGAGACTCCTGGGAACTAAAAGGCAGCAGAGAAACCTAGATTTATAGTCACAGCCTGTTCTCATTCCAGGATGCTAATTTTTTTCATTGAGATCTGAGGGAGACTTGCCTAAATTGTCTTAACTCGGCTCCTTCTCTCTCTCCCATCCTTACTTTTGTCTACTCTGTTACTAAAATCTAGCCTTCTGAATCTTAGTCTGATGCAGTTGTCACATCAAAAGGTTGTTACAAGAATGAAAGAATTCACCTGTGGCCTAGCTCAGTGAGCTTATACCCCAGTTACAGAAAGATCAGCATTCCTCACAGGGGTCAAATGACATGGAGCTCTAACCAGGAGCTTTCAGCCAAGGAGGGCTCAGACGGGATGCTAGGGCCTGGCCACTGGTGCCCAATACAGGACTTTTGCAACCTTGCCAACAGCAGCCTTTGACTCATATGCCCTACAAGACTGGCCAAGACTTTCCTAAAACTGTACAATCAATCCATGCTTCCTTTCCTTCCTTCCCTCCCTTCTTTCCTTTTTTCATCTTCTTTCCTCAGAGATGTTCCATAATCTGAGGCTCTTCCCATCTACTCCGCAGGCATCTCCCTTCCATTTCTTGTCCTGCCCTTCTCTACCATCTTCCCTGCATTAGCCCAAGAATATAAAGTACTGACCATAAAAGGAAGATTTCAGGAATGTTAGCTGTAACCGCTATAAAACATATGAACTGATTAAGCCGTTGGGCTCTCCCTAGAGCAGAAGCCTGTAATAGCAACCCTCAGGACAGCCTGGCCCTAGTGTCCTCAGAGGAAGCCCAGGCCTTACCATCCTGTATCTGAGCACTGGAGCACATCTGCTTTCCCTGGTGCCATGGTGTGCTGGGAGAATGTCAAACCCCAAAAGACGAGATAACTTCCATATGAGGTGGAAACCCAGGCCTCTACAGCTCCTCGCCTCAGGAAGAGAGAGCACACAGGTCCTGGGGAGCCTTTTAAAGGAGGCTTCCGTGAAAGCCTTCATTACACGGAGCCTTTCCTGAGAGAGCAGTGGGCCAGGTTATTATCGTACATCTAGTGTGTTTTTACTGCTGTCCTTTAATAGTCTTGGAGAAGGAACGATGGTCCAGGCAGTAAGGGACAAGCAGAATTAATGACTCCCTCCGTCAGCCTGCAGCCCTTGGGCCTGTCTGGGAGAGCACAGGAACTAGTCCTTGGCCGCAGGTCCCACAGCTGCTGTAGAGAACCTGTTGTGATGACAGCTGTAAACTCCACTCTCCTGAGATCTACGAGGATGGTTCCAATTTGGTGACCACAGACTTCACAGAGGGGCCATCAGCAGCAGAATGGCTTGTGAGGCAGGCGTTATTGATGCTTTGCTTAGCACAGTAGAGAAACAACAGTAATTAGGCGTTCCGGAAAACTGCTTTGGAGGCAACGCTGCTCAAAGAGCAGCAGGGTTGGCTCAAAGAATCCAGCAATAAATCACGATGAAGCCTGTGGCTGGCTTTCTTCCAGAACGCACTTCTCCCATCAAAAATAGGAAAAGGGGAATCAGCTTGGATCTGGTTATGCACAGAGTCCGTGGTGTGTTGCTACTTTAACATGCTGGGGTGGGGGGGGGCACAGCCAGGAAGAAAAGGGGCCCCTGGCTACCAAGATGGCTGCAAACTTCATGCACTTGGCAAAGTGAACAGTGGCTGGGGTACCGGCACCGAGCTCGGAAGTGCAGTTTGTGCGTTGCTGATACAAGGTTCCCACAAGAATCGGAGGGTGCCTGGCAGAGCCACACACCCACCACCTCTGGAGAAACAGAAACTCGTACTAGATGGGTGGTTATCTGTTTCTGTCAGAGACTACACTCTTACAACCCCCACTTCCATCTCTATCGTGCCACGCTGATGTGGCACTACGGCGTAGGAGTGGCACCGCTGGAGACCGCGACCACTCGGGCTCTGAGTCGGTTTGGACCCCCCCCCATCTGTGTCACTGTAGGGGAGCTATTTTTCTTTTCGAGACTCAGTTCATTCACCTGACTGAGACAACATGACTGAGCGACAAAATGCCATGCACATGAAGGGCCTGAACATCTTGCAACAAGAGGCTTAAATCCGATCACAATTGGCCACATAGCATGTGGCAGAGCCACAGCCAGAGGCAACCCCCCTGCCCTTATATTTATCACCTGCGTTGAGAAAGAAAAGAAATGAAACGATTGCAACTGTGACATCTCACTTTAACGATAAAGGCTTCAGACTGTCCATTAAGATAAACAAGACAACCAGGTCACTTTCACAACAATGGCTAAGGTACAAAACAGTTAGTGTGTGACTAAGATCTGAGCATAACTTAGAGTACTCTAAACTGGTCCTTCGTCTACTCTTCTATGACTAGGATCCATTTTATGGATCAGGACACTGAAGCACAGTAAAGAAGCTTAGTAGTTTGGACAAGGTAACCGTACCCCATATAAGTGGCACTAGGCTCATTTACAGGTAGTCTGACTACCAGTGATGCATTATAGGTACAACTGGCCAGAGATGGGGCTTCTGAGTAAAGACTGGGTGTGAGTTTTGCACGCCACACTTCTACAACCACAGGCATGGGATGGAATTAATGCGGTATTAGGACAGTATCTGTTTCGACTGTCTGCAGTGGGGGGGCCACAGGCAAATGGAAATCATATTTTTAACTTGGAGTAATAGATACCACTTCCCCAGGGTCCTCTGGGGAGAAGGAGGAAGGGGCATAAGAAACACTTTGATCGTGGCATTTGGGATCCCGCCTCTCTTCTCTTCTCATCTTTGCTGATGATTGTTAGTCCCGCTCCTCCTGTATTTGCCACGTGCATTCTCCCATGCTTTCTCTTTCTCCGAACTTGCTCCTTTGCTTGACTTTACGATTTTAAAAGCATTTACCTATTTTCATTTTATACATTTGAGTGTTTGCCTGCAGGGACATCTGTGCCCCACAGGTGCATCAGGTGCCAGCAGAAGCCACAAGAGGGCACCAGATACGCTAGAATTGGTATACAACTGGTATTACGGATAGTTATGAGCGGCCATGTTGGTGCTGGGACCCGAACTGAGGTCCTGTGCAAGGCCCGCAGGCACTCTTAACCACTAAGCCAGTGTGTGTCTGCTCTTAAACACTCCTGGTAGCATTTCCCTTCTTATGGGGTTTTACTTAACATTATTGCTGGATTGTTCCATGTCTAATAAGAATGACTTGGTGGCTGGCCCTGGTGGCACATTCCTGCAACCAGCACTTAGCAGGTACGGCAGAAGGCCAAAGTTCAGTCTCGGGCTGGGCCACATACATGAAACCCTTTTAACAAAAACAGTCGAGGGTCAAGCTAGGCTCCTGTCTGCAAGCACAGCAGAGCATCATCAATAGCGTCAGGGGCTGGCTCTCTAGCTTGACTGTCATGTGGGAGGTCCCAGATAGCAGCAGATTGAAACAGATGCTGGGACTTGCCGCTAAGCGTGGGGTGGAGCTCTGGGGTCTTGTGGAAATGTTGAGGGAAACATGGAAGGACATGAAGGGGACAGGAACCCCATAAATAGACCAACAGAGACAATTAACCCAGTCCAATGGGGGATTACAGAGACTGAGACATCAACTAAGGAGCATGCATGGCCTAGACTTAGGCCCCCTGCACATATGTGACTGATGGTGGCTTGGTCTTCCTATGGGGCATCCACTGAGTGGATGGGGGAGGCTGTTTCTAACATGGACTCTATTTCCCACTTTTGGATGACTTATCTCTGGCAGGGCTGCCTTGCCTGGCCTCAGAGGATGAGGATATGCTCAGTCCTGATGTGACTTGATGTGCTCAGGAGGACTGGTACAGGGGGAGGGGAGGCTCCTTTTTTTCTGGGAGGAAAGGGTGAGGGGAAGAGAAAAGGAGGGGGGAGACTAAGAGAAGAGGAGGGAGAGGACACTCTTGGGGTGTAAAGTAAATAAACAAATAAAAATTAAAAAAAAAACAGTTGATGGGCATCTGTACAACTTTATTTCCACTCTAAAAATCAAGAGACAAAGATGCAAGCCAGGGCCATTTCTTAGGCTAGCACAGATGCCAGCTCAGTCTTTCTAACCAGAAAGTTCTCCTGCTGGAGCATCCATGCAGGAAGACCCAGTGCTGCATGCAACGACAGCTCCTCGAGGGCTGCAAGAACCCAGAAAGAACACTCTCCAGTTCCAGGATCTCCAAAGCCTTAACTCCAGAATGGAATCAATCTTTCTAAATTTAAGCATGCATTCAATTTACAAAACAGACCAAAGGTCTGATTACAGGCAGGAAAGTGTTTGAAATAATAATAATAATAATAAACCCACTGTGCCTGTGAAGGAGACCTCTGCAGCACTTACTGGATGTACAGAGGCGCTCCTCAGTGGGCAGGCACTGCAGAGTGCCAGGCTGCCAGCCTGTCCTCCTGCAGTGAGTATACTGGCCTTCCCCTCTCACCGGGGTCCTGATCAGAGTCCGGTAATTCCACGGGGTTCTACCTGCCTCTGCCCCTTGAAAGAAAAGACTTGTATATGGAGACATTGAAAAGACCCTAGTAGTCCTGAGCTCCCTGACCCCAACTCCAGGTTCAAGACTCGCTTTGCTCTTTCTTAGCCCACGTCCAGTCAGCCTCAGACAGCTACATCTCTTCTGGCCAGGGGAGAAGGTACCTGTTAGTTTGCTCTGAAAGGTGGGGCTCCCCTATCCCTCATTTCTCTGCCTGCTTCTGAGAACATCACGTCTTCCTCCTGCTCCTCACTCTCCTCAGAACAGGAATCGAACACATCAGCATAATACTCTTCAGCAACAAGCGGGTCTTCTGGGATCTCTGAAATAGAGAGTAAGCAACAGTCACAGTCACTGAAGTTGCAACGGGGTGAGCTGGGAGCCTTGCATATCTTTAGAGATTGGCACTGGCAAAGCTTCCTTGGAGCACGGTGCTGACTCAGAGCTTCCTGAAAGGGTCCGCTGGACACAGTCAGCACTCTGCGAAATCAGATCAGTAGAAAAGGGACACCAACCTTTGAAGTTAGGAGAACAAAACCACAGGACAAGAATAAGTGATCTACTTTGGAGCTTTTCCACGAGTCCTTATTAAAACCGAAGGGTGTTGGGAGAAAAATAAAGAGGAGATTCCACAGCAGGGCCCTGTTATGCAACTCACCAAAGTTTGTAGCTGAGACAGTGGGAAGGGGAGTGTGTTAATGTCCCTCTGGAAGTTTTAGGGAAGATTACCCACGTAAGCTGATGTCAATAACCCATGTTACTTGACACATTATCTCTACTGACTGAAACAGAAGTGGTACATAGAACAATGTCATCAAAGAAAGGTCAAGGGTATGGGGCACACACTGTAAATTCTGATTTACTAATGGGGACTAGCAGTAGAGAAATATCTTTGGCTGAGAGAGGAGGAAATTACATGAAGGTACTCTGCTGCAATCCAGGTTAGGCTCTGCACTGCTCTGACTTATAAACAGATTTATTGTTCCTATTTGATAACACAGGGTATGATCTTTTTAACCCATTATTACCATTCTCTCTCTGGTGGGGAAACATGGCATTTAGAATTAGAGAATTACAGTCTAACTCAACCTTTGCCTGCTTGAATATAAAACTCTGGGCAAGATGCTTACAATTTCAGGGCTCTGCTTTCCTCAGTAAAACTAACTAACGTAAGCGTACTAAAGCCATGTGACTTGCAGACTCCATAATAAGCTGCTTATGAAAACACCTGTATATAGGGGACTATCACAGAACTTCCATTCGATTTGTATATCTCTAAAATTGGGCTTTTCATTAACTAACTCTAGAGTCCTTTGAAATATGACACTAGCTGTAGACCTATCCAGCAAACGAAGATTTACATTTTTATTGTTTTATCTCTAATTTAAATTTATTTTCATAAATTATTCATTTTACATTCCAATTGTAGCCCCTCCCCTCATCTCCTCCAGGTTCTACTCTCCCTCCTTCTTCCTCCCTATTTCCCTCCCCTAATTCTCAGAAAGGACCCCAGCCTATCAAGTTTCATTAGGACTGCTTGCATCCTCTTCCTCTGTGGCCTGGTAATGCCCCCCCCCCAACACACACACTAGGGGGAAGTGATCAAAGAACAGGCAACAGAGTCCATGTCAGAGACAGCCCCTGTTCCCCTTACTAGGAACCCACATGGAGACTGAGCTGCCATGGGCTACATCTGAGCAGGGTCCTTGGTTGGTACATCATCAAACTCTGCAGGCCCCCATGAGTGCAGATTTGTTGGCTCTGTGGGTTTTCTTATGAAGCTCCTGTCTACTCTGGGTCCTTCTATCCCCCTACTCTTTCCTACAATTCCCTGCACTCTGTCCAAAGTTTGCCTGTCAGTCTTAGCATCTGCTTCGTTCCCCTGCTGGGTAGAATCTTTCAGAGGACATTTATAGTAGACTCCCATCCTGTTCCCTCACTTCAACTACTTCTGGTATCTATCCTGTTTACCCTTATGAATGAGAATTAAGCAACCTCCCTAGGGTTCTCCTTGTTATTTAGTTTCTTTAGGTCTGTGGATTATAGTATGGTTATTCTGTATTGTATGGCTAATATCCACTTATAAGTGAGTATATACCATATATGTCTTTCTGGTTCTACGTTACCTCACTCTACATGATCTTTTGTAGTTCCATCCATTTGCCTGCAAATTTCATGCCTTTTTTAAATAGCTGAGTAGTGTTCCATTGTGTAAATGTACTACAATTTCTGTATCCATTATTTGGTTGAGGACTATCTAGGTTGTTTCCAGATTCTGACTATTAAATAAAGCTGCTATGAACTAGTTGAGCAAATGTCCTTGTTGTATGGTGGAGCATCTTTCAGGTATATGCCTAGGAGCGGTATAGCTGGGTCTTGAGGTAGCACTATTCCCAATTGTCTGAGAAAGCGCCAGATTGTTTTCCAAAATGGTTGTACAAGTTTTCACTCCTACCAACAATGAAGGAGTGTTCTTCTTTTCCCACATCTTTGCCAGCATATGCTAGCACTTCAGTTTTTGATCTTAGCCATTCTTACGGACATGGAGAAAGCAGAACAGACAATCCACTGCTGGAATCACCATCATGACAAAGGACCTGATTATGGTGGGGTGAGAGATTTGGTAATTTTCTTGCATGTGTTAATTCATGTTATTTGAATGAAGACTGATCAGATTAGTGAGTGTACAATTTGTAAAGGTTAGCAATCTAACCAGTGGATATTGAATATGCAATTAGGGCACTGTCCTATAAATATATGTGCCATTCTGGTTGACACGGTTGTGTCACGTCAAAATTTGCAACAGAGGCCATTGGCTGTAGCTGTGTGTGTCAGGTTACAGGTCTCAGCAGCTAACACTACACATTGGGGAAAGGTCAAACAGTATCTTATTAGTGCCACTCCCTCTACTAGGGAATTGTCTGCTCTTTTTCAAAGTCAGTACAGCTATGCATGTTTCAAATAGAGATGCCTATAAGCATACAAGAGGCTTACAGAACACTTGATAGCTTAGACCAGAAAAGAAAATCATCCTGCCACATAATAATCAAAACACTAAGTGCACAGAACAAAGAAAAATATCAAAAGCTCCATGGGAAAAAGGCCAAGTAAAGTACAATGGCAAACCCATCAGAATCACACCTGACTTCTCAACAGAGACTATGAAAGCCAGAAGTGCCTGAACAGATGTCATGCAGTTCCTTAGAGAACACAGACGTTGGCACAGACATACTCAGCAAAACTCTCAGTCATCATAGCTAGAGAAAACAAGATATTCCACAACAAAAACAAATTTGAATAGTACCTATCTACAAATTCAGTCCTACAGAAGATAATAGAAGGAAAAATCCAAACCAAGAAGGCTAACTACACCCAGGAAAACACAGGAAATAAATAACTTTACTACAGCAAAACTAATAGTAGATAAGCACACAAACACATTACCACAACCAACATCAAATAAAAGGAACAATCACTGGTCATTAATCTCTCTCAGCATCAATGGACTCAACTCTCCAATAAAAAAGACACAGACTAACAGAATATATGGGTAAACAAGAACCAACATTCTGCTGCACACAAGAAACATACCTCGGCCACAAAGATAGATTTTCATTTTTAAGGCACACTACTGTGCGCATGTGGGGTTAAGAGGACAACTTGTGGTCAGCTCTTTGCCATACTGAGCCATCATGCCAGCCCCAGGAAGGCTTTACAATCTTCTTGTAATCTATGCTTTCACTGCAAAACACAAGAGGCTATACAGGGGGATCAAAATTAGCTCAATGACAAAAATTACATATAATCATTTCTAACAAACATTGCCAGTTCTTAGGGTAGGACTTCCATGCTCTGTCATTTAATCCAAGCCTGTTTCCTTCAAGATCTATGCTTTTTAATTGGACACCAGAAGAGAGAGACAATTTGTATATAGGGACCATGTTTTATTTAAAACAACAAAACAAAAACCTTTATTCAGCTCACAATTAGGATGACCTATGCCATACCGTGAGATATACATGAGAACTAAGAGCCTCCCACGTGACTTCCTCCTCTGCTACTTCCCCTGCTCCACCCTGAACCTCTGTCTCTCTTTCAGAATTGTCTGTTTTCTCCTTGGCTCCTCTACTTCACCTCCTTCCAGTGTCTCTCTGCCTCTTTTTATAGTTTATTCACTCGTTCACTTTTTTCGTATTTTCTCCCTTCTGTTCTCCTCCTTTTCACCTCCCTTTTCCCTCCTTTGCTTTCAACTCTGAGTATGACACGGTACAACAGATTTCTATCATTGCACAGTTTGCAGGAATGGGCTTAGACTTGTGTACACACTTGAAATCCTTAGGATTAAAACAAAGTGTTCAGGAATAAAGACTTATCCACTCAAACTAAAGATGACACTTTGCTATTTTCCTTTTTAGTCAAAATTTCGAAATGTTGTTTGCAGCCCACAAGTGACTTCTCAATTCACAGCTTGAAACACACTGGTTTAGAATGCTGGCTTCTGCATCAAAGAGATCTGCATGTACAATGATAACAATGGCTCCACAACACTGGGTACCAATTTAACTTTGTGCATTTTTGTTTTTTTTTTCATCTAAAGACCATAGATGATTATCTGCCTCTGGGATTATTATGAACAATCAATAGTATAACAAAAACAAGGCATTATGAATCATGTTATTGTATTTTACTCAGTGAACATCAGCTGCTATCAGAAGCTGTGAAGTGTGGCAAACATTTTGATTTTGCCTGTTAATACAGAACATCAGGAAGAAATATAAATATCAAAAAATCATAATTACATACCAAATGTGAAATGTTCTTTTCTTTATAATCAGTCTGTGTGGATTTTCAGAACTGACTCAAAGGCACACTAAAGAATGACATCCCATTGGGTTTTTTTTGTTGTTGTTTTCTACCGGTCTCCACCAGGACCCACGGGCACTTTATTCTCTCCCATCATCTGCTGGTCCATGAGGGCCTCTAAATTCTCTACAAACAGCTCAGGAAGACATGAGATTCTAGAGTGAAAAGCTTGTTAAGTCAAATCATAGGCTCCACAGATTATATGACTGTATCAGTTATGCGACTTCTTTGAAGATGATCGGTATTCAAATGAAGAGTGTGGCTGACCAGGTCATTATCTGTACAACTCAGACATTTTTCTCTTGCAAAAAATACCATCCCCCTCCTTCCATAGCAGGGTCCACTGTGCACAGAGAGCCTTGGTTCTTACCCTCTTGAACCTATGATCCCCTAAGAAGGAAAAGAGTGATCAAGGGGCAGGATTATGTCTGATTCACAGGACCGACTGGGATGCCTCCA